TACTAGGAAGTATATCTGACTTCTGTAACGTTTCACTACTAGGAAGTATATCTGACTTCTGTAACGTTTCACTTCTAGGAAATGTAACTAACTTCTGTAACGTTTCACTGATAGACACTAAAGCGACTTCTGTAACATTTAACTACTAGGAACTATGTCTGACTTCTGTAAAGTTTCACTGATAGACACTATAGCGACTTCTGTAACGTTTCACTGATAGACTCTGTAGCGACTTCTGTAACATTTAACTACTAGGCACTATATCTGACTTATGTAACGTTTCACTACTAGGAATTATGTCTGACTTCTGTAACGTTTCACTACTAGGAACTATAGCTGACTTCTGTAACGTTTCACTAATAGGAACTATAGCTGACTTCTGTAATGTTTCACTGCTAGACCCTATAGCTGACTTCTATAACATTTCACTAATAGGCACTATATTAAGTGAAACGTTACAGAAGTCAGATATAGTGCCTAGTAGTGAAATGTTACAGAAGTCAGATATACTTCCTAGTAGTGAAACGTTACAGAAGTCAGATATACTTCCTAGTAGTGAAACGTTACAGAAGTCAAATATAGTGCCTAGTAGTGAAATGTTATAGAAGTCAGCTATAGGGTCTAGCAGTGAAACGTTACAGAAGTCAGCTATAGTTCCCAGTAGTGAAACGTTACAGAAGTCAGCTATAGTTCCTAGTAGTGAAACGTTACAGAAGTCGCTATAGTGTCTAGCAGTGAAACGTTACAGAAGTCAGCTATAGGGTCTAGCAGTGAAACGTTACAGAAGTCAGAGTGAAACGTTACAGAAGTCAGCTATAGTTCCTAGTAGTGAAACGTTACAGAAGTCGCTATAGTGTCTATCAGTGAAACGTTACAGAAGTCAGCTATAGGGTCTAGCAGTGAAACGTTACAGAAGTCAGCTATAGTTCCTAGTAGTGAAACGTTACAGAAGTTAGTTACACTTCCTGGACTAGGAACTATAGCTGACTTCTGTAACGTTTCACTACTAGGAACTATGTCTGGCTTCTGTAACGTTTCACTACTAGGAACTATAGCTGACTTCTGCAACGTTTCACTACTAGGAACTATAGCTGACTTATGTCAAGTTTCACTGCTAGACCCTATAACTGACTTCTACAACGTTTCAGCGCTAGACATTATAGCGACTTCTACAACGTTTAACCTCTAGAGTCCATGTCTGACTTCTTTGTCATTTCACTGCTAGACTCTATATTTGACTTCCGTGACATTTCACTGCTGACTCCAGATCCGACTTCTGTAAGGTTTTACTGCTGGATTCTCTATCTGACATGTTTGACGTTTCACTGGTAGACTGTATAGCTGACTATTAAGAACAACTGTTTAAGTTAAGAACATTTAAGTGTACCTAACCAAAAAGAGGTACGCAGGATACATGCTTGAATACCCTATGGTTAACGTTGCATTGTATTTTTGAAAGTAACCTATCACCAAATAGCCTAAAGTTCTAGAAATTACAAAAGTGTGGTTTGCCTTTACTTTAATTTTTTATTTCAAACATTTTAATAATACTTTGTCACAGAACATGTTCAGCCAACAAACTCAAAACATTTATAAGTTTATGACCACTTTTAGTTTACGTTTCTTTATATTTTTAAGAGGCAAAAACACTATAAAAAATTTAACTCTTTAAAACTTGAACGTGTTTAAGAGAAGTCCAGTACAAACACATCTAATCCACTTTATCTTACCTTCTTAAGGAAGACAACAGTAAAATGACACGTTGTTTCAGACTTTACTAGAATAATGAAGCGTTATTTCAGACATTTTCAATTTAGTGTAGGCAAACAACAGTCGACCAAAACGTTTAGACTTGTTTAGCTTAACGAAGAGAGGCTACTGTGGACTGAAACGTTCTTTCAAACATTTCCAGCTAACTGAAGATAAACAACAGTTGACTAAAATGCCTCACTCTTTCCTAAACTAATGAAAACAGTAGAAGAGGGCTGACTTATCTTCTCAGACTAAGCAGTAGAAGTGGGTTGGACTTATCGTCTCAGACTAAGCAGTAGAAGTGGGTTGGCTTATCATGTCAGACTAAGCAGTAGAAGTGGGTTGGCTTATCATGTCAGACTAAGTAATAGAAGTGGGTTGACTTATCGTCTCAGACTAAGCAGTAGAAGTGGGTTGGCTTATCATCTCAGACTAAGTAATAGAAGTAGGTTGACTTATCATGTCAGACTAAGCAGTAGAAGTGGGTTGGCTTATCATTCAGACTAAGTAATAGAAGTAGGTTGGCTTATCATCTCAGACTAAGTAATAGAAGTGAGTTGACTTATCGTCTCACACTAAGCAGTAGAAGTGGGTTGGCTTATCTTCTCAGACTAAGTAATAGAAGTAGGTTGACTTATCGTCTCAGACTAAGCAGTAGAAGTGGGTTGGCTTATCGTATCAGACTAAACGGTAGAATGGGTTGGCTTATCATCTCAGACTAAATAATAAAAGTGGGTTGATTTATCGTCTCAGACTAAGCAGTAGAAGTGGGTTGGCTTATCTTCTCAGACTAAGAAGTAGAAGTGGATTGACTTATCGTCTCAGACTAAGGAGTAGAAATGGATTGACTTATCGACTCAGACTTTTCAGTGTTTAGTAAATGCAGAAGATAGGTTTGTTATTGAAGTAACCTGCAGGCAATATGCTATGTGATCGTTGACAACATTTTCTCAAAAGCAGTTATACAACAACTCTTTCTTCCGCTTATCTAAGGCCTTTAAACACACATGAATCAAAACTTAATTTTGAGATGTTTACTTAATGTCGGTGTTAATGATGTGTTGTCATTAAAAATAAACTGGAATAAAAACAACAACACAAATCACAAACTACACTCCTTCAACTTTAAAAATGTTTTGTTGCTTGACTTGTACTGGAAATATGTGCATGACAGAACTGGTCCAGACTTGTCCCCAATATTGGAAATACAATGCACGTCTCGCCTGAGTTTTCAAAAGCACTCTAGAAGATTGGATTCGATTTTATGCTACCATAAGTTCTTTGTTGTAATTGTTTCTATTTTGTTGAAAAAATAAGATCTGGCTGTCCCAGAATGTCAAAGAATTTAAATGATGGGATTGTTGAAATTGTTTATTTTATTTCGTCTTTGAAAGAAGTTATATACCAATTCCGAATAGATACTTATATTATAAACTAACGAATACTGATTTGTAATGTATTCGTTCTGTTTTAAGTTGCACAATGAGCTAACTGCGCTATGTCCTTCGTAGGGATTGAACTCCGATTTTTAATAGCGTAAGCCCTCAAGCTTACCGCTGATCAGCTGGGGGCATACGTGACATGAAATAGTTGAAGTCATCAAGTTGAAAGATCCATTATAACTTGTGAATCAACAGAAGTAGACACCCTTAAAATCAGATATTAATCTTGTGTTATTCAACGCATGTGACTTACAGCAGAAGTAAAAACCCATAAAATCGGGTATTAATCTTGTGTTACTCAACAAATGTGACTTACAGCAGAAGTAGAAACCCTTAAAATCAGATATTAATCTTGTGTTATTCAACACATATGACTTACAGCAGAAGTAGAAACCCTTAAAATCAGATATTAATTTTGTGTTACTCAACACATATGACTTACAGCAGAAGTAGAAACCCTTAAAATCAGATATTAATCTTGTGTTATTCAACGCATGTGACTTACAGCAGAAGTAGAAACCCTTAAAATTAGATATTACTCGTTAAACAACTACATA